CTGTTGATACTATTCAAATACGCCAGTCTTGGTAGGTGATGATAATGTACCACTTTGGTCAAGGATGTGATTGGTAATACAAATTTTAACCCCAGACACTTTAAATATTTCAGTGATGAGGAGCAGCAGCCAACATCTGGAGAAAGTGATAAAACCCAAAAAATTAAAATACCGAGCCAGAGTTTGTAACTAAAGTTACCTCCATGACACTTTCTGGTGAAGGTTTTAAAAACATGTCAGTTGTTACTCTCCACCAGCTTCAATGCAGCAATAACAGTTTACCCTAAGGCTGTACCTCCTGGCTGCATGTGGCCCATCCACATGAACAACATGTGGAGTGTACCCAAGTACCCCTGAAGTGTACTCTAGACCTACACTTCTCCACTGCATTGACAATGTTTTCTGCTGCATGGGACATAGCTGAGTGATTTCTAAGGGAAGGGCAAAAGAAAGAAGGAACTGAAAGCTATGGGAGAGGCTTTCTAAAGTAAGACCATGAGGGCTGCTCTAGATGTTGCAACCTGTGGAAAATAAGGCAGCAGCAAGGCAAAACTGAGGAAGGACTTCAGTATATGTGGAGCAACATGGTTCCCATCAGCAGCTTCATCTGTTTTGGGCGAGCTAGTCATAATGTAAAGACATATGATAATGCTGTATTCTGGCTCTATTGCAACTTCTGTACTCCTCAGAAAATCTATAGCTTGATCATCATCTTACAGACACTAGAATTAATATAATTATTAATAAGAATTGTCTTTCTTTTTAATTCCTGCTCTCATGTTGTTATTACAAAATGTTGCAATATTCTTAGTGAGTTCTCTGAAGTCTTAGTAGCTTGGTAGTGAAAACATGAGTTGAGATAACATCAACACATAAAGTGAGATAAATGTTTAAAACTGCATGACGTCTGAAAGAGTAAATTAAATGATCGTTATTTTATATCTAGTTGAGTAAATGGCATGTATTGCAGTAAATGGCAAAAATCAGTAGTTAGCAGTGGAGATACATGTTTGTTTTTTTTTTTACCATGGATTATCAAGGTTCTGCTGAACAAAAGTATGAAAAAGCGTTAAGTATGGTTTTGATAAAATAGTATATCTTGGAATCTGCCCTTTAAATGATTCTTTCTTTTCAGCATAAACTTTTTTTTTTTACCTTGTAGTTATACAATGCTCTCTTAATTATTCCTTTCCTGTTTCCACAGTCTGACCTTTTTCTTTGCCAGTCCTTTTCAAAGCGTGTCCTGATTGGTACACGCTCTGCAGGCTCCATTGTTTGCTGCAGCAAGTTGATACTCGATATCATTCTTTCAGCTTCTTCTTTTACATGGAGGCTTCCTATCTGTTTGCCTTTTATCATTTTTATTCATTTTTCTCTTTCTTTTCTCTGGGGAAGCCTATAAAGGTATAGTAAGAGAAATAGATTCAAGTAGATTATTTCAAATGAGTATCCAGCTTGCTTGGTAAGTGGGTCAAGAAAAAAAGTAAGTTTTGATATGTCAGAATGCATCTGGTAAAGTCTTAATGCAAGAAGAAAAAACATCTACCTGTACTTCTGGGAGCAATGGTCAGTCCTCAGTTCCCTCAACAATAAATCTGGCTTCAGCTAAATGAATTTTGTGTTCCACCACTGTTTTATTGTTCCCTTAGGTTAACTAAAACCATTGCTTTTGCTGCTGCTGCAGTCAATGATGTTATGGAACTTTATACTTTCGTCTGAGCCAAAAGATTTCAGTTAACTCTGGGCAGTGACGATGAAGAAAAGTCAAACTCTTTTTCTGCATCATTTAATCTCACCTTGAATTATCTGTATGTAACCAGAAACACAGCTCAGATCTGTTGTCTCTTCACTAATCTTCTTATTTATGTGATTCCCAAATTATCTTCCAAATAGACAACCATCTGGAGATTTCCTAAGTATTTTTTATAAAAAGATGTTAAAAACTATTGATTTTTTTTTTTTTTGCATCACTATTGCAGTATTCTTTTAATGGAAAAAAGAGTGGAATTATTCAATCAAGTGTCTTCAACACTGATACATGCTGATATATATGCTTATATGTATGACACCTAAATAAAGGACTGGAAGATAAAATTAGCAAAGTTAATCCTAGAAATTCCTTCTTTTTGTTTGTATAGAATCTTCTTCTAATACTTCAGCTTCCCCAAATTTCTCATACTTTGGAAGAAATGCTTTATTTCCCTGGGTTTACAGTTTCTGTTGTTGCAGGTAAATTAGCAAACAGGTTTGCTAAGACAGTTTGACAGAATTCTCTCAGCTTGCAAGAAGCTAATTGCCAAAGAAGAAAGCACGTCTCAGAACTGCTGCTGACAGTTGTCACAGAAGTGGGAGGCATGGGTTAGCCTCCCCAAAATAAGCCTGTCGATTTGGAGGCTGTGATGAAGCTGACCATCAGTAGGCTTGCTGCCTTACACTGACAAGGGATGACTGGTAGGAATTGAGAAGAATCTGGTTTAGAGGAGAAGAAATCAGGAGTAAAAAGTTTCTGCCAGTGTCTTCACTTCTCTTAAGAAGAAAAAGGGCATTCTCAAGGTGTTTGCCCCTGCCAGGGACCAGGGAAAAGCTCCCAGCCCTTTGTGTCTGCAGAGCAGGCAGGGTGCTGACTGATCAGTGGCCAATGTTGGCTTCAGATACGACTTCCTGTTAAGCTAAAAAGTTCAAACTGCTCAGTTTTCAGCCCACATGACCAATTTGCTACTGGTATGAGAAGATGAAACTTCATTTGCTTCTGTGCTCTGACCTACGTTTATGCTGGTGGTGAATTAGGCAAAATATATTCATTCCAGCTTGATCGTGGAACCTTTGATTAAATTATGTTTTTCTCTATTTTCTCATGAAGAGCTACATCTGGTCATGTAGAAATAGCTTGTAACAACACTGAAACATAAATTATTTGATGAACTACTTAGGACTATTCACTTAATGCATGATAATCTTGTGAACATGTTAACAAGCAGCAATTCTCTGATGATTAAACTACTTTAAAATGTCTTTGTACTCATATATCATTAGAATGAACTTGGCACTTCTAAAACATCCATTATTCATCATGTTCCAGTGTTGCATCTGACTGTGTATCGCTTTAATTTCACTCACTTAACAAAGCAATCTATTCATTACAGTAGTTTGAAGCATGTTTTCTAAATCAGAAAACCCCTAGTTAAATATAAAGCATTATGTATCTTTACAGATATAATAGACCAATAAAACCCATCCCAAATTGTAATTACATGCTTAGTGCATTTACATATGCTAACTAAAACTTCAATGGATGTTTTAAGAAAAAAATTTGTTGAAATCAATGATACTGTTTTTTAGGGAAGCAGAATAGGTAAAACACCTTTCTGAAAGCACAAGGTTGACCTTTCTTTCTGAAATAGTTCAGCAAACATTTTCTCACTAATCCTTTTTTCAGATGCAGTTATTGTCCTGATCACTTAAGCAGAGAAGGACAGAGTATTATTACTGCAAATATGAATACTACTTATATTTATTTTTAATGCTTGTTTCCTGCTTCTCCTGTATCTTTTCATTTTACAAGTCCTGGGTCCTTCCATACATTGTGAACTCCATCAAATCCTACATTAACTTTGACCCTTGTTGAATCTGTGTGTGATGGCTGTTCCGGAAGTGGTTCTTCACTTCCTAGCAAGCCCATAAGTTGTCTCAGAAAGTATTGGACCACTGATTGGCTCCATGTTTGAAGATTTGTTGACACATGGGTTGCACGTGCTCCATCTCCTATAAGCAAAAGACAGCTTTTGTCAGAGGAGTTAGACAGAATCCTGGCTAAATGGACACTTGAAGAAGTATCAACAGAAATAAATTTTCTCTTCAGTGTAGCTAAATGAATTTTCAGTTTAACTAGTAAAATTCTGGTCAATAACAGTGGGAGATGGACTAATAACCTCCATACAAGCCAGAAATTTTTATTCTCAGAGTGCTCGAGGGTCTTGCAGAACATGCACAGATTGTGCAAAGCACTTCAGTCTTTTAATTTTACTTTAAAAATGCTTCTTGGGCTTGCTGGGAAAAGAATGGATAGTCACGTATGCTGTGCTTATTTCTCACAGATTTTTGATCAAACATGTTTTTAACACATTCTGATTCGGTCTGTTGCTGAAGTAGGATGTTTGAACAGCTTGGAAGGTTTACAAATGCTTTCCTAGTAAGCGATAGAGGTAGAGAGTCCTTGTTGATTGTATTAGCTCTTTCAATAGCTCTTGGTACAATAAAAGTCAACATTTTAATGATTGGCCTACAGAATTGTTAAAATTATGTAATTGTTAAAATAAAGTGAATAAAATATGTGTGAAAGAGATGGAACATGTATGTGGTAAGAGGGAGATGCTGAAAGAGGTGGACTTGGAAAGATTTCAGTAACCATTGATCTCTCTGTGTTTGGCTAAGAATGTTGATGGAATCAGAATAAACCAAGAAACCAAACCATGGGCTCACTTTTTTACATTTTTATCTCTTCCTTTGAATCACGGTCCTTCTTTGTTCATAGTCCAATAAATAAAAGTTAGTTTGCCATGAGTTAGGAATTAATTGCAGAGAATTTATACTGAAATGTTTCAAAACTGTATTAGGATATAGCTTTTTTCATCAATCTTTCCTTATAAAATGACAGTTCATGGAACATGATATTTAGTGTGTCATTTGTGGCAGTATCAAAATTGAGTTAGTGGTGTCTCAAGCTTTTGTATGCCATTTTGTGGTCAGACTTCTCCGTTAAGCTTTTCCTTCCTACTAACCTAGATAGTGTTGGTGGGTATATTGCTATAGCTTTGGCTACATTTATGTGTCATTCAACCTATGAAAAGCCTTGAGTTGTATTTGGAAATAATTCTGAACTGTTTCGTAATAACGAAATGTTGTTTACCAGGCAAATAATCTACAGTTTCTACAAAAGTTCTAGATAAGGACTTTTTAAAAAAACCTTACATTAATGTGTCTCTGTTTTTTTTAACACACAGCCCCTGTTCTCCCTGGGGCGTATCAGCAAAGCCAGTCCCAAGGATATGGATACATGCACCAGACCAGTATGTCATCCATGAGGTCCATGCATTCGCAGCCTCATTCAGCAGGTCTGGTGAGTATTGGATTTAAAGAATGATTTTATTTAGTAAGCAACATCATCAGCTGTTTTGAAATCTCTTAAATATGAGTGAATTGGTCCCCTAGAATTGTATAGTTGGACTATTTGACTGTCCTAGTCCTAAACGTAATAGTCCTCGTGTATAAAAAAGATTAAGTGACTGAGGGCAGTGGCAAGGACTTTATGTCAGAATGAAGTAAAAAAAAAAATCATTTATGATCTCCAGAAGGCAGTGCAATAACTGAATCTTCTACCTGCTAAAATAAATAGTAAATGCCTGGACAGTATTTCACAGGCTGAACTTTGATGTTATGCTCTGTGATGAATTGAGGTTCCTAGCACTGGCTGAAAACCACTGATCTCTTAAGATCACCCTGTTGGTTTAAATTTGTTTAAAATTGTTTGACTTGCTGATTTTGTACTAGCAGGCTTTGTGCCTACCCATATTACTCATCTCTGCTTGCATAAAGCTAGCTCAGACTGCACACTGGTGTGCCCTTTCTAATTCAACAGAACAGTCACACTCCCACTCGTGCTGGATGCGAATCGAGTTATACTGCTGGGGGACTGAGAAGAAGGTTTATCATAAAACCATGGCCACAGTCATGAAGTTCTTAATTGTGGTGGATGGGAATGTAAAGCTGGAGTGAATATTTTGTTTTAGAAGTAACTGGTCATGGAAAGAGAGCCGAAAAGGTATTCAGCTGGGGTTTTTAGGAAATTGAGCTTCTTTTTTTCTTTTTGAAGTCTTTGTATATGAAGTTCAGTTTAAATGGTTATCATATTTTCTTATCGTATCACTGCCTAGAGATTTCATATCAGATCCAGTCACCTTTTACTTTAAAAATATTCACTTGTAATTTTGAATTTTAAACTGTTTTGGATGGATGCGTATTTACCACTGCTGTCACCTGTTTTTTGGACATGAAGAAGTATTTCATTATGAACCAAACTTAGAGCTTGCTGAGCTGAAAAAAACTCCTTGAGATTGGATGAAAATAGTATTTTTCTTTAAGACTGAAACTCCATGGCATTTTGTATTGTTCAGATGATGACATTCTAGGTGCTTTCAGGCTTGCCAATTTCTCAGCTGCTTGGGGACTAAGGGGGCTAACTTGCTGGGAAGTCAGGGATTCAGAAACCTGCTTCTTTGAGTGAGCCAATACCTCGGGAAGCTCTTTGGACATCTGCATGACAGCTGTGAGACAGCTAATACTGGAATCAACCATTAATTTCTGAGGATATTGCAAGGCACTTGGGGAGCTGGCTGCTTTCCGAAAGGGCCAGAGTCCAAAAAGCGGGAGACTTGGAAGCCTGGGCTTTGCCAGCACATTTGCTAGTCAGTGGGGGGCAAAGCAGCCTTCAAATCCAGCATATAGAGAAGGGAGTTGCCTGCAAATCTCGAAATGCACTTAGCAGCCTTCACAGCTGTCTGGGCAGGTAGATGGCTACTATTTTCCTCATATCTCTATCTCCCAGTTATTTACCTGGTGAACTGCCTCTTAAAATAGTATAATTTCAATCATCTTGAGAATCGTCATTTGCCTCTCCTTCTGGGAGATGCGAAGGCAATAGGAGAAGGAAGGGAGTGAAGTTAAAGCATTTAAAAAATAAAGGATTTGACCGAGTGTCTCCTTTCAACAGGATTTCTTATCCCTTTTGTGAAACTGTTGTTGTTTGATATTCTTTTAAGTCATAATAGCTGTTTACCATGGGAAAAAAGGAAACAGCAAACATCATAGTTTGAATGGATCCTGCTGCTGTTAAAAACTGAGTGGGTTTCCTTGAACACAATAAACTCCAAACATTTCCAGAGGGAGCAAACCAAGGACTACTGGCCTGGTGCTGACTGCTAACTTGCCAGTCTGGTGAGGAAGACAGCGTGTGTTGTCACCCCCAGGGTGTTGATTCTGCTCCAAAAGAGGCATCTTGGATGCAGCTAGAAACCTGGCATGATCCCTTATCTTTCCACTTTCACATCAAAAGACTATCTTTTCTTTAGCTTGTGCAGCTTATCCAGGTGTGCTGGACATGGAGGGTTGGAACTAGATGATCTTTAAGGTTCCTTCCAACCCAAATGATTCTATGATTCTATGTTACACTCAGCTGTTGGGATGACACAAGGGGTTCCCAGTATGTGGTTAGGGAAACCTCTGGTTGGAGATGTGTTTAAGTGTAGAGATTTGCACAGACTGAAGATGGAAGGCAGCCCTAGAGTGCTTTTTGAGTGCAGTGTGGACATGCCCTAGGAGATCTGACAAACTTACACAATGTTAGGTTCACTGCTTTCAGCTGCCTCTTTGGTTTTGGGCTTGGAGCAGTACTGCCAGAGACGCACCCTTGTCTGGCTAAGCCGGGCAGAGTGAAGAAAGAAGAGAAAAAAGTAAGAAGAGGAAGAGACAGGAGGAAAGAAATCCCAGCCTGAATACTGGTCTCAAAGTACAAGCAGTTTTTGAGACTTAACTAAAAGCAATCAAGGTGGCAAAGTCACCCATAAGTGCCTGAGTTTGGCCAGGACATCTCTAGGGTGTGAGTGATTAAGATCCTATGTGTTACATCACGGTGGGGATGATTGGAGAGTTAGCTGCTGTAGTAAAACCTACTCCATTCAGCCAGTTTCTTGCACTGTTATCAAATCAGTGTCCTCAAAAGACATACGTTCATTTTATAGTCACGTCCACTAATTTCCTATACTGAGAAAAAGGCATTTTCTAATTTCTAAATTTTCAAATTTTAGTTTATTTAATTTTGAGCATGATCCTAACACAGTCTCTGGGTAGATTTTTTTCTCCTAGATAAATTGTGTCATTTTCTGATTCTTAACTTTTGCTTACTTCCGATGTGCAGTTCTACATAATGAATGAAATTGTTGCTCCGAGTACAGAATGCTTTATAACGGACCCCTGAAGGCTGTTTGCCTATTTGGAAGATAACAGAGGATGTTCTCGTGTCTTTAGATAACTAAAAGTGGTAGGAAGACAAAACCTAGGTTTCAAATTGTCTTTCCTTGGTAGCTGTTCTATGTGAAGGACCCTGTGACAGGTGCTTTTCCTTGCAAGGAACAATCCATAGAATAAGTATAAACTGGTGAATGAAGTGGAAATATGCATCGGTCATCTCACATCTGGCTGAGGAGCTGGGAATATGAGAGTTGGGCTTCAATACTTCTTATGCAAAAGACTTACTGTTCTGTCTAAGCAGTAGCTGCAAGTCAGACCTTTGAGGAGGTGGGATATAAGTGAGCATTTGACTGTTTTACTAAACCTCAACCTTTTCTTATACCTTCTTGTGCTCTCACTACCTGCTAAACTCACTGCTGACAGAGGAATAATTCACTAAAATGCATTTTAAAAATCCCTGCTTTGAGTCCTTTAAGCATTGTAATTCTCAATTATATAGCCCAGACTACACTCTGAAGTGATAATTAGGCATTAAATGCTAACAGGATTATTATGGAGATTTCTCCTGACAGCCATTTAGCACCTAATTAGGTGTTAAGGCCATAAATTTAGGTTTCTCAGCAGCATTTAGGGCCCTAATAAATTTTTTTTTAAAGTTTGAAATTACCAGCTTGTCTTCAGAACTGTGCCACCACAGTGATGTAGTCAAGCTGCCTTAAAGGAGACAGCAGTAGTGTGTCCTGTACCGTGATGTTCTTAAGGATGAGTGAGCATCCTTCTGGGTGAGCAAAAACTTCTGTGTTTTTTTTTTTTCCCAATTGTATATTAGTTTAATAAAACATTTAATCTCTTCCCCTAGTCTTTGCCCATTTAAGTGAGACTCATAGGCATGACTCAGAGGAAAATCTGTTCTCTGCCTTATCCCAGACATGGACTTACTGCCATTTTTCTTAAATGGGCCTTTTCTTGAAATTGTTTTTTGGAGTTAGTTTCAAGGCTCAGTAGAGAGATTAGTTGAAATAGTTGGAAAAAATAAGATTCTCAGAGGCAGAGACCATTCCTTAGGGTCTTCCGACTGCTAGTTTTCTAGTTTGTGAATCTTTGAGGAATTTTTGATGATGATAGAACCCTCCCAATTAGTTGCTTTGATGTCGTGCATAAAGAATGATGCTTTTTTTCATCACATTCCACAAACACTTGGAAGATGTTACGGAACCACGAAGACACCACATATCTCTGGTTGAAAATCACTCTTGGTCACAGTCTGTAGGGCAGCAACATTGTAAGGCACTGCAGAGGACAATTACACGGAGCAAGACTCAAGTACAGTTCAGAGTAGACTTGTCAGAAAAGGTAGTGGCCTCCAGTGTTTAACCAGGAGTTAATTACTCTGTAGTGTTTAATCTGCACTACCAATGATAAAGGCAGAATCAAGTCAAAAAGTGTATTTCTAGCATGGGAACAGCTAGAAATGAGTTGCCCTATAGTGTCCGGATCAGGTGATCCCACATTTCCAATTTGTGACAAATGGCCTACTCACTGTGTGTGGAGAAATCTCCATCTTTTCTGAAAGTAGTTTAATTAACCCCCCCTCCAAAACTCCATGTATGAGATGGACTAAAACTAATCCAGAATTGTTTTACTCAGCTGTGAAGCAGAACAGTTTGCTGTCTCTTCAAAGGTTCAGATAATAGTATGAGGCATTAACTCAAGCATTGGCTTTTTTTACCTTTTTTCTCTTTAAATCGTTGTATCAGAAAAATTCAGGTAGATATGGTGACATATTAAAAATTGCTGGTAGGGATGTTTAATATTATCAGTGATGCTTGAACTTCTCTTGACTTCTGTCAAGAAATAGGATAAAGAAAAGAAAGTACTCCTGGGAATTTTAAAATGAGCTAGCTTTGTTCTGCTGTTAAGATACAAGGGGAGACTGTTACCTTTGAGTCTGAAGATCCACTTTGAATTCCAGTAAATGATAGCATTTTATTGGTTATGAGTGGAAATAAATGCTCTAGAAAGAGAATGGAAATCTTAGCTTACAGTGGACAGAGGTGTAGAGAAATTTGGCTTAGCTAATCACAAGAGTTCATGTTCTGTTTAGACATATCTTTTATTTGAATACGCAAAAATGGTTATTAGTAAAAATATATTTTCAGACTTTTTTGAAATTTTTTTTTCATTAGATAATAATATATTCCTAATTCTTAACTTGGAGTAATATCCTAATGAAATGAAGGACATTCAGTGAGATGGCAAAGTTAATGACCTGGATGAAGACTGTGTTTCTTTTGTGTAGTGAAGACACAGGAGAAGCTATTTGGGAATCATGCAAATAGGGAGCAGAAGCACAGCTAGCCATGGCTGGGTGTAATGAACTGTTACTAGTGAATATATGAAACAACAGTTGGAATATTTCAAGAGACAGTGAATGACTTGAAGTCTGTTTGTATGAGGACTTTGGACAATCTGGGTTCAAAAAAATAATCATTTTGGTACTCAGGAAAGGGGCTGTGTTCACTGTGTTTTTGACAGGGTGGAGGGTGTACTGTTTCTTTTTGACAGGTAACTTGTGATTTCTTTCTCTGTCTTGCTCCCTCTGTTCTTCCTTGTCTTTTTATTTTCTTTGTGCAAAGAAGAAATCTATCTCTGTTTAGGCTTGAGACTTTACAGCCTTGTTTTCTTTCCTTCAACAGAGAACATACAGAGCTATGTATGACTACAGTGCTCAAGATGAAGATGAAGTTTCCTTCAGGGATGGTGATTATATCATCAATGTGCAACCGATTGATGATGGCTGGATGTATGGTACTGTTCAGAGAACTGGGAAAACAGGAATGCTTCCAGCAAATTATATTGAGTTTGTTAACTAATTTTTGTCTCTAGTCCTTTGAGCTTTATTATGATTTACTCAAAATCTAACCTTTTAGAAAAAGTCAGAAGAATCTTTTAAGAGTACATGTTCATTACTTTATCACTGCTGTAACAGTTTGCATTCTCACTCAGAATCTGCTTTAGAATCCTTTAAAGTAAAGATAAATAATCAACAAGAAGCTCAGAGCTTTGAAAACAGCATTGCTTTAATAGTGCTCCCTCAAAATGAAAAACATGTATGGAAGCCTGGTGCCGCCAATCCTATAAAGATTTCAGTCAATTAGCTGTAAAGGGGAAATATCTTTTCCCTGTACCTCAAAGACATTATTTCTCTTTATAATAGCAACCATAAAATCGATTCACTACTTAGGGCACTCTGAAGTCACAGGAGGTTAACACACTGAGTTTGAACACATCTTCAAATTATTAGGGAGGTGTTTAATGTTTGAGCAGTTAAAATTCTAATAAAAATAAAAATGTTGAGTAGATAATTCAATCATTTGAAATAATGACAAGTAATAAGCTATTAAAAATACCAATAAAAACTCCTACTGCCCAGCAGCCTTACAGTAAACAGGTCTATTTTGACAGAAAAAAAATTCCTAACTCTTTCATACCCACATTTATTCCTGGATTACCCATTTTCTCTTATTTCCAACAGTGACCTCTTCTATCAGCTTCGCTTGCATCCCAGTCCATCAGTTAGATCCATGCCTGGATTCACGGTTCTTCGTTATCTTTTCCACAGAAAACTCCTTGCAAAGACTATCTAGAGTATAAAACCTATCGACTCTTCCGTTTCCTTCTAATAATACTTAGCATTTAAGTAGAAACTTCCGTTAGGGGAATGTACAACCAATACTCCATGTTAGTTCCTTTACCTTCACCTGTACTCTTGTAAATAACTATCCCGTGTGAGGCCCCTGTGCTGTGCCGTCACACAAAGCCTGCGGTCACATCCCTCCTTCTCACCACCGGTAACTCGCTTAACGGCTGCTTTGCTGACGAGCTAATGCACCTACCCCTGCTGCAGAAACACTTGCACCTCCATCGAGGAGTGGAGGAGAGCTCTGGTTCTTGTAGTGCGTTTCAGCTCAATGGCCTATCGCTTCAGTTTCCTCCAAAAATCTTGGTGATCCAACAGTGGGTTGCACGCTTGCCAAATGATAGAGAAATACGATGTTATCTTTTACTGATTTAATCTTTTCTTATGACTGACACTGAAGGGAAAACAAACCAAACATGAGTCCAACATACTCTATGCTGTCATGTGTCAGTTTAGCCATCTGTAGAAAACACTGAAAATATTTTGCTGACAAACCTTCACATACGCTACTTGGTGTCCGTGAACTTATGATCATAAATTGACAGAGCCAGGTCTCAGTCTGTGAGGCTGAGCAGAGGATCGAATAACTGGTGACACTATGAACCTGTAAGAGAGATTGTGGCAGCAGGCTTGGGTCACAGAGAGGTTGCTTTTGCTTTGACTGGGTGCCAGGAGGGAGCTGTGTTCCTTCCCAGTGAGAAACTTTAAGAGGAAGGACAAAAGAGTTCAAGATTCATGTGGGAACTTGCTCATGTGGATGCATATCTGTGTAAGGAAGAAAACGTTTTTGCTGATAGTATCGTTTGTGATGTTCAGCTATATGCTAGAGAAGCTTATTTTGGAGTAGCTCTCAAAATGTTGAGCCTGTGCTGGCTTTCTCCCATTCCTGAAATTTTTAAAGTAGAATTAAATACAGAGTTTATAGATAATTTTGTATTTTGTGTTTCACAAAGTAAGCAAGCCTGCGATGTATAAAGAACACGGAAGGAAGGCAGTATGGATTTCTTACATCCATTGAAAGCTGTCAATGCAAATAACTGCTAGGGTTTATTTTTTTTTTTTCATACAATTAGGAATTGGAAAGCTTATGCAATTTTTTTTTTAGGTGTTGCTGATCCCAGCTGTCAAACAGGGTGGAATGACTGCATTAAAAAAAAAAATTAAAAAATACCCATGACTGTGGAATTGCCTGTGCTTTCTTGTCACCTGCCTAATTGCAAGGCTAAAGCTGACCAGGAGCATCTAACTTCAAAAAATGTGATTTAAAACCAGGGATGTGATGCTGTAAATATACAATCTGTACGGGTGATGCTACTGTCATTTAAAATTCTTGAAAGTTTTGCATATAGAGCTGCTGCTGCAACAGACCCTTATGCATTACTGGTGACTTCCCCATGAAATTAGCAGGCTTTGCAAGTCAAATTGCTTTTTCAGAAGGCTGATGTGGTAAACTGAGCTAGAAACAGTCTGGTTCTGTGTTAGTTTTCACCACCAGCCGTCAAAAGCAAGGAGAGGAACCCCATCTTATGATGGCTGGCAAATTTTTCTCATGATGCCTGAGGCAAAATTGACTATCACTTGCTGCTGTGCTGCTCTATCAGCTGTGTAATGCTGACAATAAAAACGTGTTGTCAGTTTGTTAACCAGATATGAATAAAAAGAAATACAGGGAATAGATACATTGCATGAAATTGCAATTGTTAGTGACTTAGAAAATATCCACCTATAAATACACTTGCATTCTTCCTAAGTGAGGACATGGCTTGCGGTGTTGAACACTATATATAGTGAAAAGTAAATCAGAAAATGAGCATTTGATGACATTAGAGGAATATGTTATGCTAAACAATGGAAATAAAATTTCCTTTATGAGTTTTGAATATTCATTAGCCTGACAAAGTAGCTAAAGCAATTCGCAAAATAAAAAAGGTCAAGAAAACAAAACAGTATGTGAATTGTATTTCTCTTGAGAATGGTATGTCAGCAGAATTACTAAGATCTATTTTAAGTTACTCATTCATATAGTCAGGTTTTTATGTTGTATATGCTTAGTAATTCATGTTCATGTGGAATGGTTCCTGCTTTTTGATATAAAACAAACTTTAGTGTCATTATACAGCTTTGTTCTAAGCAATGTTATCAAAAGCCCAAGATTATCAGAGTGCAATTATAAAAATGTTTTTTAAGTTCTAAAATTTGTAAGGTAGGGAAAGTAAGTCAGCAACTAAATTGTGCCAGCACAGATTTTACAAGGCGTATGTTGGAGCCTGTTACATGCAGTGGGATATAAGGGTGAACAGATGTTATATGCTATCTTGTCACCTCTAAAGTATATATTCCTTTTTAACACAGCATGTTCCCCTCACTGTACTTTCTTCCTGTGGACAACATTTTTCTGGGTAAAAGACTTTTAAGGAGCCAATTTCCTAAGATGTTCCAAAGTTCAGGTTGGAAGTTCACACATTCCCATTTTAAGCATTTTAGAAATAAAGACAATACAATGTGCTGTAATTCTTGCTAACATGAGTACAAATGTAGAAAACAACATAGAGCATATTCATACATATATACAAGAACAAATGGGTGCCTTGTTTTTCATTACTCTTTCTTGCCTGACTAATCTTCATTTCCTAAACAAAGCTACTTACAGATACTGCAGTTGTAATTTTTCATTATGGAACATTAGCATTTAATCTTGATGAAACAGGGTTTTCTTGATTACATTTGACATACCATAAACCACTTCAGCAGATTGGGATTTGACAGAGAATCACCTCCCATGGATTATATTTTTGACAAATGTGTCCCTACCGAGTGTTCCTTGGGGATATGGAAGGTCTCCAATACTTGAGAAAGGTAATAATTCTAGTTCTTATTGTACAATGACTGCATGTCATCTTGTACAATGAAAAAGAAATGACAAATACAGAAGTATTTTGCAGAAAGTGGTACAGAGTATAAAATGTTAGCTTTTAATTATGTTGGTTAATATTCCATTTAAAATACAGAATATGCTTTAGTTAGTAAATGTTTAAATAATATACTGAAACAGACAAAAGATGCTGTTGAAAGATCTCCAAACTGATGTGCTGGCAAATGCAAAGTACTGGTGAGCCGTAGAAGAATAAACCATTTTGCAGTGCTTTAGTGATTTTCTCCAGCTATATGCCATAGGAACCCCATCTCTCCTTTTGGAAGAAAACCTGAAAGCTATATTTCCTAAACTGCCTGCACTACAACAGTATATTCAAAGGAATTTCATATGCTTCTTGTGTCTGATAAATAGGATTTGCATATTGTACTTAAGTTGTAATCCAGTTGTTGTTGACATTTGTTTAATTATTATTATTTTAGGGGGGAAATAAGCTATACTGTAGCATTTCAATCATGTGTATTTAATATTACTATTAGAAATTGCTAGACCATTGGAAGACAGCAATGACTGTATTGACATTGAATAGCATGATGTGGAAACTCTCTCAGCTGTTGGTTTTTGCAGTGTGATATAAAAAGCAAAAATGAACCGCTGTGCAGTTTGGCTTATGTTTGCTTTAAAGTGTGTAAAGTTTTAGTTATTTTGCAAAACTGTTCTGTATTTGGGAGTATACAGTTATGAAGGTAACAACTGTTTTTCAAAGGACAGATATACTTACTCTTGGATCATATGATGTATCATCTTAATTTGGCTTTTGTTATGCAGAAAGTTAACACCAGCTATTAAAATATATTTTAGTAGAAATGCTTTAATTCCTGTTTATTCCTCGACACTGTGAATATTTAAGCCTTGGTGGACTAGAGCAACATCATGCTGCCCAAAGTACTAACCTATGCAAACTAGTTCACATTTTAGTTGATGTCACAGTGGATGTAACATAACAATTTATTTTGCATAACATTAAACGTCATTCAAATAAAATATTAAACCCAGCACTATGTATGTATTATATTCATAAACAATACTCTGCCAAGCTACCATACTCATTAATATAAGCTATCGAAGATGTATATTGTTTTAACTGAGGATGCTTTGAGTTTTCAAACTTAAGTAGAATATTTAGCACTATTATTCTTCAAGCTTGATCTCAGAAAATAGTTTCCTAAACTACCATTTTATTTCAGAAGTGCCCTCTCCTCAGAAGGTTAATTTGCTTTTTCAGTCTGTATTTGTAACCCTTCAATAGAACATCGAGTTACATTCCATGTCCCTTGGGTTGTTTAAATAAGCAAACATAGTAAGTGAAGGAGATCCAATGATTTGAGTGATACCAGTTTGCTGGTCTTTGAATGGGCATTTGGTTAGATGTGCTCTCAGTGCAACACTAATGAAAACAAATTGGATTACTGGCCTCTTCAAGGCAGTTTTATATACAAATGTGGTTCTCAGGTTATCTTTATTCACTTACATGAATTTATTTTTACAACATTGTAAGAAAATTTAAGTTAAAATCCAGAAGTATTTTGGAACTGCTCTGCCTGTAGTTGAAGAAGATTATTATGCTTAGGGACATGTTTTAATTATTTGAATGTTAAGCGTACAGTCCAATGTACTACATTAGAATCTTTGAATTTTTATCAAGTGT